GCCAATATTAAGATGGTTCTCGTCATCAAAGTTGTAAATGAACTCAATCGTTTCAAATAAAGGCACATTGATGAACAGTGAAGTGACGTCGAGAGAGCACATAGTTTAGTTCTTGACGTTGACATCACGCACGGCATCTACAAACGCAAAAGTGTCCATTAGGCTCTGTACATCGACTCGTCTACGCACAAGTTCAAGAAGTTCCACCAACCAACGAGTGATCGAGTGGTATGGGGAGTTTCTCATTTCCAAAATCGGGCGAAGAGTACAGTTAGGCTTGTGGGTTTTGGGAAGGCCGTAAGACCTTGGAATAACCGTCGCCACTGGGCGTAGATTTTCATAGACTGATTCACTGATATAACCACCATTCTTAGGCTTTTTGAGACAGACGCACAGTTGGTTTTCGATCTGCTTTGTTTTGTCTCGCTCACCAGTCATTTTCAAGAATTTCATATTGTCTGCCAATATTCCACCCATCTTGTTGAGGTAGTCTGCTCTGTTTAGGATAACAATGCCAGCGCCTTTGTCTAGACGAGTAACCAGAACTTGATCGTTACTAAGTAGTCTCTCATTCTCGAAGACTGCTGGATTTCTCCAGGCCAACGGACAACGTCATACCCATGCTGTACTTCCTCATGTTTCGTCTTGGAAAACTGATGTTCCCCCTCATGCCTTGATAATGCGATTTTCTTGATATTCGGTCTATCGATGTCACGTTGCAACCAGCGTTATCACCGTTACACATCTTTGTCTTGTTGTTTATAAAAGACCGATGCACCCACTGTTAAACAACTCACCCAGCCCATTACTAATTTTGTCAGATGAGTCGTCGGTCCTTCTTTACTGGTAGGTTGTTTGGCATCTGTAGCTAAGCGATCACTCTTGTTCATCTATATTGATCCTCCTTCAGCAACCGTTCCAATTCTTGTGGCTGCATCTCCGCGTGTTATCATACCTCAGGTGCTGTTACCGATTATCCGCGTTACAGTGTCAATTTAAGTTGTGCTCTAACTGTTCTGTGAACTATCAATCAGTGGTAACACTTCATCGACGTTCCCCGCTTTCTGCACGTGATACTCTCTGTTTCCATCTTGAGGTAGCTGATGACAAACCTGTGTTGGTAAATTTGTTTGCAGCCCATAGCGAACCAGTAGATTTCTCCGTGGACCGGCCCGTAGCCTAAAAATGATCATAAGTTTGCCTTCTAATCCGAAAGCGCGAGTTCCAGTCTGCGTAAGGACCGGGTGACCCTTTCAGTCATCTTAACTCGCCTGCGACTGGTGGTAGTTGCGCGGCAGCGAAGCGTCGGTACTGCGTACCGGCGTACTTCTCATGCCTTTCTCTGTGAGCTCTTCATCAAGATTCGATGGGGCGAGTAAGCCACTAGGAGCTGGCCCATCCAGAGACTGTGCACGCGTAATGTTTTGGAGGGAGTTCACACGCTGCTCATCACCATTATATCACGCACCAGGCTCCGATGGTTTGGCCACGTATTGCGCATGCCAGTACACCGACTTCCGCGACGTGCATTGTTTGCGCGTTGTAGGTGCGGTTGGAAGAAAAGAGGGGAGGCCAAGCGATGACTTGGTCGAGAGAGATGAAAACCCTCACTTCGAAGTTGGCGTCGGTTGATGCATCCCGACTGCCTGGCTGGGATCCTAAGGACAGTGAACACGTTTGGTTAGACACACTTGCTGATATGGCTTGGAGCCGGCTCCAATAGCGTTTGTGTTGTGAGTTCCTTTGTCCATCCCCCTCCTGCTTAGCATCTCTTCCAATCACGATCTCACATGTTAGGCATAACATGACTCTTTTTACAGCACGATAACCAGCTGTTACCTCTCCGGAACGATGTTCCTCCGTTACTGGGGACTCAGCCGGCGTGCCACTGTCTGTTTTTCTTTTCTTGTCTTTTGTATTGCGGCACAATAGCTGAGGTGTTTCCCACATGCAGCTAACGTGTATAATAATGATGATGATGATGAACTTTTGCCTTAATGTGTGATCTACGTCGTCCACTAGCCACAACATCGTTTTGATGTGATATCTTTCTATGGCCCATATTATTGTCTGGTCCGTTAACCTTAGCACATGCCTCTTGCTGAGCGTCTGCCGAAAAGATCGGCTTCGTTTGTCATTTCCAACATTTCTCCTCTGGCTAGCATTGGGTCTCTTCCAGTCCACCTTGTGTCGCCGTGAGTGAACTGTGCTGATTAGGCCATTGCTTACCACACTTGGAATAGATTTGTAAACAGCCGTCTGAACAAATTCATACATTGTGCTTTATTACCCTCATGTTCCCACGACTAATACTTGTGTTTCTGGTCAATATTCGTCACTTTTCGTTCAGTTGGCTGTTAACTGCACTCCGCGTTGAATGCTGCACCAACGATCGACGCGCGATTGCAGTAGTCACCCCGATCCCCACAGGTTTTCTGAATCATGTCGTCCCATGGCCGGATGTATAACGCATCTCCCTGATTATCCAGCAGTTTCCCATTCGAATCTGCCTTGATGCGGGCGACCTCGCATCACAATCCGCTCATGCGCGTGACTAGTGTTGGTCACATGTCAGCGAAGCATCTGTGCGGCGTGCTAGTACAGCACCAGTATATATTGCGGATCATAATGGCACTATCGTTATGGAACGCATTCAAATGCACCTAGTTGAGTTGAGTACCGAGTTGCCGGATATGACGGTCATTGTCAAATTGCTATGAGCAGCTGGCGCACTGTCTGTCCGATAGGTTTAAGCACTTTTTCGCCAGCTCCAGCGAGTACTTTCTTTGTCCTTGATCATGGCGATAGATGCCAAGCACTATGCGCCGAGTTCCACTGCAAGCTCAACTATCTCTACCTGATACGTGCAAACCAGGACGAAACCGACGGTCGTGGAGTACAGGAGTTTGAAGAGAGCCACACCGAAACCCTTCACTTTTCTTAGGCTACTTCAACTTTGACGCGCAATGTAATGAAAACTCAAGATAGAACGTGCGTTTGTCTTAGATTTCTCCAGAGTACGTTCATTGAGCTATTCTGAAACCGTTACACAGTCGTTTATTCCGCTACCCTGTCCTTTTCTTTCGCTGTCGATGCCATCCGTTTGAAGCTCACTGGTCTCATGTTCACCAGACCTTACTAACAGCAAGAAAATCCTCATGTCGTAAGCCTAATCGCCAACATAGACGTTGGGTCTCTTCGCAGCTTCTGGAACTTATCGATGAGAAAAGGATGTTCGCCGTCACCTTTCCTCTTCAACTTCACTATTGACGAAGTCATGAAAATCGCGTTCACGGGACACGAATTTAATGGTGTGGATCTGCTCCCAGAAGAACGACTTCTTGACTTGAAGTATGTTGACGATATTGCCTTAATCTGTGAGTGCTCGCGGACGTGCCAAACTGCACTGGGCAGATTAGCACTGGCTGTCAATCGCTTCGGGCTTTGCTTTACACCATCGAAGTGCAAAGCGTTCCTCAAAGATTGGCAGGGATCGCCTCCTCCGCTGACCGTTGGTGGGGATCAGCTAGAAGGCGTTCGAAAATTCAACTACATGGGAAGTTGTATCAGCACGCGTGGGATTGGACTATGAGATCACGAATCGTATAGCAAAAGCTCGAGACGCTTTTGCTAACGTTCGCCACTTATGGCGTCGGCGCGACATCACTCTAGCCCTGAAGGGTAGAATGTGCAATGCAGCGGTACGTTCGACCTTATTGTACAGTTGTGCAATCTGGCCCCTTAAAGCAACGGACCTGAAGTGGCTAGTTACGTTCGACCATCGGTGTCTTCGCAGTTTAGCTCCCGTCTGTTGGGAACACCAAGTGAGCAACGAGCGTGTTCGACGCCTTGTTTACGGCACAGGAACAGTAGATGAACCGCTCAACACCGTTATTTCCCCCACCAAGATCCGAAGGCTCGGCCCCGTGTTACGCATGCCACTCCCGCGACGTGCGTTCTCTGTGCGCCGGAGGTGCGGATAGAAGGAGAATTGTGGTGGCCAAGCGATGACTTGGTCGAGAGGAATGAAGGCCCTCACTTCGTAGCTGGCCTCGATTGGAGCTTCACGGCTCCCTGGTTGGGGTCTGGAAGACAACGGATACGATTGGCTGGATACACTTTCTGACATGGCTAGGAGCCAGCCTCGGTGGCGTTCGTGCTGTGACTTTCTTTGTCTTTCCCCATTTCTTTTAACCTTCCCTCCAGCCACGACCTCGTTTCGTAGCATAATATAAGTTTACCTAATAATTTTTTGTTACGTAGTAGCCGGCCAGTAGCCTTCCGGAACGATGCCCATCCGTTTCTGGTATCTCTGCCGGCATGCAACTCTTGCATTTTTTCCTTTTTTTAATGTATTGCGGCGTAGTAGCTGAGATGTTTCCCGCTTCTAGCTAAGGTGCGTAATGATGATGATGTTTGATTGTAAAGTGTCATCCGTGTTCTAACCCCCGTGCCAGCTGATCTCCATTGCAATCGATCTGATATCTCCTCAGTTTCAGCTCGGGGCACTATATTGCAAGGCCACATCTGGCTATGACACACCTTGAGGAAGCGTTCCAACAACGCTCTTAACTCCTAACTTTTGGGCAAATGAAATGAGTTTGATTGTTGTCACTGATGGTTGTCTGCTTAGCATGGTCTTCGTTAGTTGACAGCTTAAGCAGCATCAAGCAATTATTATCATCGTACCTCCTTACGAAATGCAACTCTGATTTAACTCACCGCGAGACTCGTCACAGGTCGTGTATCGTTTGCACTCTGCAATCTACGTCTCACTCTCTTGGGTTTATGTTTACATAGAGTTTCTTCACTCCCGTTCGAGTATCAAACTACAACATGTTGTTTCTCTCAATTTTTTCATCTTCGGTATATTAATCTGATTTCTATTGCGATGGAAATACAATGGGTTAGCTGTATACTTTCGAAATGTATACATGCATAGGTGAAGCTTATTTATGAATTCCATCGGTTTGAAGAACAGCTTTTCTCCATCTCTTTAGACTGGCGACACGGAATTCAATCGAGGTCTACTCATGAACATCGGGATCCGCGAGTCCCTCCGACAGGATCCCTCTATCGACTGTTTTGTTTTCCACGACGTAGATATGTTGCCTGAAAACAGTGATAATCTCTATATGTGCGACACGAACCTGCGTCACCTATCCGCAGGCATCGACGAATTTCGGTTCCACGTTCCCTTCGCCAACTACGCTGGTGGTGTGACTGCCTTATCGAAGGCGAATGCGTTAAAGGTGGGTAATTTCAGTATCGTGTGTATGTGCCTTGCTTTGAATTGCACAGCTCTCCTTATGTTTGAATCCGTCTTATTGTATGCTTTGTGTGTATAGCAGGACGTTTCCTAAGACTTCACGTTCTCCTTTTTTTCTCCAATGAAGTTATGGGTACTGCGACGGCTCTCAGTAATAGACAGTCTGATCACCATTTTGATTGTGTTCTCTTGCAATGAGACGACGACTTTGAAGGCGCACTCCTGAACGTTATTCGTATCCTGTTTTGCGGGGTCTGCCCGTTTTCTTCATACAAATGTGTTTCGCGATATATTTTGTTTGTTACACTGCTCTCGCTTTTCTGAACAACTTCACACGCTAAGCCGTCGAAGCAAAACTTGCCCATAATATGGTACAAACGTATGTGTGTCTCTCCTTTCTATGCCATTTCCGAGTCAAGTAACTCCATAAAGGTAACAAGTTGAGCCATTCCGATATCAAATTCCTTCGTAATCCTAACAAGTTGATCCGTCCATGAACCAACTCGATTCCGGGGGGAAATGACCTGTGCGCACCGGGTTACCGCTGTATCGTTAGTCAAGCGCCGCCAGCTAATAGTGTATCGGATGCACAGACATAGCAACGTGCACGTGGTGTCAGCGATTCATTTCAATCTGAATTTGCTCACGTGCAACTTGTCAAGTGTGACGTGACGTATAGATTACGGCGGATGGGTGCAATAAGTCGTTAATGTGTGATGTTACCAACGGTGGGCTAAGAGTAAAATAGGTCACTTTCGGCGTGATCCACAGCACCGCTATAACAGAGCCTGTTGTCAAAAATGCTCACTGGCTACCCGCATTCTGACACGACTGACAGTCGACGTTCCTAAATTAAACTCCCAGGCGTTTGTCCGTACTAGCTATCGTCTGCTGTGACGTGCACAGAGCAACAGTCGTAATACGACGCCTGGCGCATTCAAGCGCTTGGGTTCATGACATACTTTGACCAAACCGCTAAATCGCATTTAGATCGGTGGACGTCTACGTCTTCACTGATGCGATGACCGCAGCACACGCAGCCTCCTGGCTTCATGCGATAGCGATGGATGAACCTGTGCACTAAAGTTGCGATCCAGCTGATAATATGAGTGATCTTAGTGCTTGTTCCACGACTAGCAAGCACTGCGTTTCAAAACAGCGGGCAACAGGTGCACTGAGCGATGGTTTAGTAGGGACATTGAAGTGAATGCTTGAGAAACGCCATGAGCTAGTAGGGTGGGAACTACGAAGTCCAAAGATGAGAGTGACACTGCAGTGAGGACTACACTAGTGCAAGACGAAGCCGAGAATGGGATGTTTACATAGGGAGCGACAACTCTTCGTGGCCACCCATTAAAGTTGCGCAAACCCCGGTCTGACTGGGTTTGGTCACCTTTCCGGTTATCGCATAGGATCATAGTCTATTGGTACGCGCTGCTTGAAGACGTCATGATGGCACCGACGGTGAAAGCGTTCGAGCATCGACTTGACGCTTTCGGTCTGCAGTTTAAAGTCTTACTCTTCATGTCTTTGTTTTTGTTCGTCTACTACGGCCTACGCTTTTTTAACTCAACTTACATCTTAATATTGCCTACGATATTCGATAAGCTTGTCTTCTCTGTTTCCTTTTCTTTACTGACACTACTGTTTTATTTTATTCTTCACGTGGCCGGTACAGCGGGGACTGCTAGTGCAGGGCACGTGGGCATTGTTTGGTTGACCATGTGAATCCTGTGTGTTGATTTGGCTCTCCTTTGGCACATCAAGACACCGGTTTCCCTGTTGCATCAACGACGTTTTCCAAGGTGGAACATTCGCGGGATTTTTCTACTGTTCCGTTCCCACTTGAACTTGTACGTTGTCGCGCGCTTTCCCAGGTCGCGGATCGTAAAGGCAAGTGTGAATACTTCTCGTCTAATTCGCAGCAGCGAGCCAATTTACACTCACTAACGCTGCCCTGCGCTTTGGGCGGTGCATTTTGAACAGCATTTCCACTGGCCACCACGGTGTCTCATGGTGTGTAACCACTATCCAAAGAGGAGGTTTCCCACAAGCAACCTGTGGTCACATGGAAAGAACAACACCTGCACATGACGTTTTGTTTCCGTAACGAATAGACAGCGCGGACAAGCCTATAACTGACCGCAAACAGATGACCAGATGTAGCACAATGTGGTAGCGTGTATCGCCAGGTAGGACGACCGCAAACGGTCAACCGGTTGGGCGGTTAGGCAAATAAACCGTGGTGTAATAAACTAGATGTAACACCGTGTTGATGGTGCACCTCACCGAAACGCAATGGTACGAAGAGTACCTTATGCGCGCCACGGAAACCGTATGAGGAGGGGAAGGATTGGAAGCACGTTACCTCTGTGCTTAACCTAAACCTGTGGCAGTTGGATACGGATGTGGGAGGGGGCATCGCAGAACCCTGACAGAATACCGCGTCGACGCTCTGGTTGAGTGGGTGTCTGCGGAGTCAACAGTTAACTTAAAGCTCTTCGTTTACGTTGAAAGCAGAGTTCGAAGTTAAGGTATACTCCAGCACGGTCGCCAGGTAAATAGGCGGCCGACCAATAACGATGAAACGGTTGCACGCCATTCCGAAGTCCATGAACACTCTAGAGAACAGGAAGCGTTGGAAATCATTCGTCCTTCGGCTACTGAATTTAAGGACAGAAGGAAGACAATCATTGTGAGTAGATGACGCTGATTTCAACCTCTTTGCAGGCGCACCGGGGGCCGCTCACTTGGTTGCAGTCGGGCACAATGTACCGTGTCTGAATAGTAGGGAGCAGAGTAAATAAACAAATAAATGATTTATTATCGACGGTGCGAGATACGCCTGAAAAGGCATGCTCATGGTATTACAGATGCGTAACATCATTAATCATACAGAAGGGTTACAAGTTAACCAGTGCATACTGGACCTATGTGTGTATGTATGTGGGTGCATGGCGCGATCTAATCACGAAGGCAGTTGCTGAAGTGCGGGAGAAAGCCCTCATGCATGCACAGAAGAAGCGGCAGTTGCGGAAGCGGCAAGCACCGATGGGTTGTACTCCAACGACATCGAGCGCATGGTGATGTAGAACATGCGGTCGCGAATGCCTGAGTCAGGCAGGCTTAGTGAGCCATGAGCGAGGCCACTCCGGACTTCTACCGAAGCGACGACGGGTTCTGCAGAGAACATAGGCAGAACCGGCGCAGCTTTTGTAGGTACGCTGCATTCGATTTACTAACCGCATGGTTGCATGCTAAGTCCCTTTATTTCAGGTGGTGGGTTTTCAATTTCGCCTTAATGCTTTTCTTTCTCATATAAATGTCTACCTGTACTCTGTTCCATTAACTTATCTAGTATTCATTTGTAAACAACTTATTTCATATGCTCATTAACTTAAGGTTTATGTCACCGTTTCCGTATGCATCAATCGAGTTATTTTCTTTCCCTCTTTCTCTCTCAAGTGTTTGGCTGTTGTTTGATATCCCCTGTGTGGCTGCGCTTGATGTGCATGTTGACAAGGTGTCTACCTGTCTATAACCCACTACCTCATCCATACTGGCTCCAGGAGACAGTTGGTCGTTGCTGGATGGGACGGGGTGCACGGTCCTTGTGGCCATGCTAGGCTCGAAGAGTGATTCCATGCACTCAGTGTGGAACGGACCACGGTCCAGCCACCGCTTTGTGTGCGCTTGATTCCCAAATACAGTGTGCTTGTGTTTGTCTGTGAAGGAGTGTGGGCCGGCTCCGTTGATGAAACGGGGTTCCCATCCACATGCCTCCCGGTCTTATTCCTTCAAGTTTACACTGGATATGGGGTGTGTGGTTGGAGCTGTGGGTGGTGCAGCGCAAGCCATCCATGGTCCCTCTGTAGACGCAGGCGTCCTGTGGCTTTCCATAGTGACAGGCAAATCCGAAACCGGATGCCACCAACCATGTGTAAGTCATCGTGTTGAGTGAGTTTGTTACGATTACTGTGAATTTGTGAGTTTGTTCGGCCAATGCACCAACATAGAAAGGGATGAGATGAAGTCTTTGAAGTGGGGTTGACGTTCGCGAAATGGGTAAGATCCTCCGGTAAGACAAGAGACGGTGATTTTATTTAGTGGTGAGTCATATCTGCCACGTCGCAGTGTTGTTAAGTAGACATTTATGGCTTTTTATAGGGAGAACGCTTGCCAGGTGAAAACCCACCGCATCCTGGAACACTGCCACTGAACTGTTAGCTAGAGCGGGATTAACCCGGACCACCCAGCTGCCACCATGAGGAGATAGTTCGGCTAACCACGTTGTAGACACCATGACGAATACGCGCTTGATAACGTCCTCCGTCTTAGGAGGCAGCTTCAACATGCTTAGCTGTACGCAGTGTCTATGTCAAATGTTTGATACTAACGATGCCGCACTCAACAAAAGTTGCCTTTTGGTTTGCGACAACGCGCCATGCCACACGGACCAGGAGCACATTTCATTTGGTGGAATCTTACTGCTCAGGGAGGCTTCTGCGACTTGCCCCATACTCTGCATCGCTGAACCACATCGAGGCCATCTGGAATATTATATAGGCCTGTGCGAAACAAGCAATGGGTGAGGACGGTATGCCGAAATGCTCCGGGGTGACCCTGCAAAATCGGGTAGTGTGGATACGTCTTCTGGATAGGCTTGTGTCTGAAGCATGAACTTGCGTGGCAGATGGTTCATCATGTTGTAAGAAAGCGCGGTTGCGTTATTTGTTTGGCAGATCTGTAAACCATTTGTTTCTCTGTAAACTACCTGGTACTCTACAACGAACTCAATCAACCGACGAGTATATGCAACACTACTGGCGAACGACCGCCAACGCGATCGATTAGACCCGGTGTAGCGTGTGACTAGTCAACCAGAACTGACGACAAACTCGCTCACAAGCTCAAGCAGACAAAGACCACGAAACACAAGGAGTCAAGGTCAAATATCATCTGCCCATCAACCAGGCTGAACGC